ATATTTATATATATATATATTATAATTTTATATATAATATATATATTATTATATATATATATATATTATATTTATATATATAAAAATTTATATTCAAATGGCTTCAGGAAGAAACCCAAATATTCTTCCTTGAAGCCTTTATATATATTATTTTTATATTATATATATTATATATATTAATAATATATATTTATATTATTATATATTTTATATTATATATTATATACATATATTATTTATATATATATATTATATATAAAATTATATATATATATTTTATATATATTATTTTATATATATAATAATATTTTTTATATATGTTGAAATGGGCCCTTCAGGCGTTGAAATGTTGTAGACGAATCTGCAAGCCCCTGATGTGTTGATTGAAACACGAGGGGCCTAGGGTGCATTCCGCTCCCCCCGTGGTTGTTTTGCCCCTGATCGCTTGGTTTGCGATTTTGCTTAATATAATATATATATTAAAATTATAATTATATATTTATATATATATATATATATTTATATATATTATATTATTAATATTTTTATATATATACTTATATATATTTTATATATATTTATATATATTTTATATATATATATAATATATTTTATTATATATATTATATATTATATATTTAATATATATATATGTTTTAATATATTTAAATTTATATATTTATTATATATATTATAATATATATATATATATTAATATATATATATATATATTTATATATATATATATATATTATATATATTTTTATGCAAAAAGACACGAAACAGGTGTTTTAAAAAATATGCAAAACAACCACTCTGAAAGAATAGGAAAATTTCCCAAGGCTTTCGTGACTATCACATTTCAAGGAATTGATGCTTTACTTTCATATTTTCCTTGTAATGTGAGTAGTCACAAAAAGCGTTTGGAATTTCCTATTCTTTAAGTGGGTTGTTTTGCATTTTTATTATTATTTTTTTTATATTTATATTTTATTTTTAATATTTATTATATAAAATTTATATATATTTTTATTTATTTTATTTTTTTTTATTATATAATTTTATTTAATATATATTATTAATATATAAAATTTATATATGTACTATTTATATATTATATGTCTGCGATTTTTGGTAAAATGGTTCAATTGCAAAAAAATCATTAAAAAAAAATTTAAAACCTTCTTAAAATTTTTTCCTCTTATACTTTGAAAGATTTTTTTTTTTCATTAAAGTTAATAAAAAATTTATAATTTTCCCCTTAAAAAAAAATCTTAGAAAACTTACCTACCTTTATTATAACAAGAGTAAATTATTTTAGTTTAAACCCCAAAAAATATTTTTTTAATTTCTTTAAAATTAATTTATATAAACAAACACGTGAAAATTTTTTTTTCGTTAGGTTAAGAAGATTTTGGCAAAATTTTTTGCTTCACAAATTTTCGTTTGTCCTATTTGGAAAAGAGAGCTTTGCTTTTTAACCAAGATCGCAAGTTCTGCCTTTTGGGTATAAAAAAGTATAAAGGTTGGGTAAGGACTATGACTTTGTTTTGGTGTATTAAAGGTAAATTTAATACACAACTAAAGAGAGATATGTAAGTTTAAAGCCAGAAATCAGTGAGCCATAAAATTAATCTAAGGGGTGGTGTAGGAGGTGGTTTCAGCTAAAATAAACATCACTCAGTGAGTACAAGTTATAAACAACACAATATCTTTTCTCCAGAGAGAAAAACGTCGTAATGTATTTTAAGATATTTTTATTGAGGTAAGATAAAAGATAAGGACGCATCAATGTCCAAATTCCCCGGAATTTTTAACTTTATTAAGTCTTTTTCCCAAGAATTGTTATTTGCTTTATGTTTTGTTTTTATGGGATATGAGAGCATGGGACGTATTAATTAGGAAGTTTAAAGGAACATAAAATATTAGTTCTAGAAAAAAAATGTTTTTTAAAAAGCATGTGTCCCAATTAAAAAAATTCTAGTAATTATTGTAAACATTTGTCTTCCCGTCCCTGAATTTAGAAATAAAAAGTTGTTCATTATCATGTTATAGTGAAGTTTCGTGACAGCAGACAGTAGCTCCTTACACTGCACAGCAGACAAGTAGCCCCTTTCACTGACACAGCGACAAGTGCTCCTTACCTGAACAGCAGACAAGTAGCTCCCTTACATGACACAGCAGACAAGTAGCTCCCTTACCGACAAGCGACAGTAGCTCCCTTTCATGACCAAAACAGTAAGAGCTCCCCTTTCACTGACAAAACAGACAAGTAGCTCCCTTACATGAACGAGACAAGTAGCTCCCTTCACTGCACAGCAGAAAGAGTCCCCTTTCAGACACAGCAGACAAGTAGCTCCCCTTTCACTGACACAGCAGACAGTGCTACCCTTTAATGACACAGAGACAAGTAGCTCCTTCCTGACACGCGCAAGTAGCTCCCTTCACTGCCAGCAGACAAAATACCTTACATGACAAGCAGACAAGTGCCCCACACTGAACAGCAGAAAAGTGTCCCTTAATGACACGAGACAAGTAGCTCCTTACACGACACGCGACAAGTAGCTCCCTTCATGACACAGAGACAAGTAGCTCCCTTACATGACACAGCAGACAAGTAGCTACCTTACATGACACGAGCAAATAGCTACCTTTCACTGAACAGCGAAAAGTAGCCCCTTACATGACACAGCAGAAAGAGCTACCTTAACTGGACCAGCAGCAGTTGCTCCCCTTACACTGACACGAGAAAGTAGTCCCTTTCACTGACACGCAGACAATGCTACCTTACAAGACTCAGCAGACAAGTAGCCCCCTTCACGAACCCGCAGACAATAGACCTTACATGAAACGACACAAGTAGCACCTTTCACTCAGAAAACAAGTAGTCCTTCATGACAGAGCAGACAAGTAGTACCTTACCGACACAGCAGAAGAGCTCCCTTACACTGACAAAGGACAAGTAGCTATTACACTGAAACAGCCAAAAAGTAGCTACCCTTTCACTGAACAGAGACAAGTAGCTCTTTACAGGGCCAGCAGCAAGTAGCTACCCTTCACTAAGACAGAGCAAGTAGCTCCCCTTTCACGACACACAGAAAGAAACTACCTTCATGAACAACAGACAAGTAGCTCCCCTTTCAGAACGCAGAAAGTGTACCTTAAAGACACAGCAGCAAATAGTCCCTTTCCTGAACAGCAGACAAGTAGTACCCTTCATGAAACAGCACACAAGTAGCTACCTTTTAATGAACAGCAGAAAAGTAGCTCCCACACTGACACAGCAGAAAATAGTACGTACACTGACACGCAGCAAGTAGTCCCCCTTCAGACACAGCGACAAGTAGCTACCTTACAGACCAGCAGACAAGTAGCTCCCTTACCCGACACAGCAGAAGACTCCCTTCATGCACAGAGATAAGTAGTACCTTACACTGACACCAGAGAAAATAGCTCCCCCACTCAACACAGCAGAAAGTAGCTACCTTCACGACAAAACAGACAAATGCTCCCCCACATGCCCCAGAGACAAGTGCACCTCACTGACACAAGACAAGTGTCCCTTACACTGCACAGCAGACAAGTAGCTACCCCTTTTATGACGCAGCAGAAAGTAGCTCCCTTACAGATGCAGCGACAAGTGCTCCCTTTTCACAGCCAGCAGACAAGGGCTCCCTTACATGACCCTGAGAAAGTAGGGCCTTTACACTGACACAGCAGCAAAAGCTCCCCTTTCCTGACACCGCGCAAGTAGCACCCTTTCAGACGCAGCAGACAAATACTCCCTACACTGAACAGCACAAAGTTCTTATTATATGCACGCAGCAAGTGCTCCCTTAAATGACACGCGACAAGTAGCTCTGTTACACTGAGCAGCAGACAAGTAGCTCCCTTAGGGCACAGCAACAAGTAGCTCCCTTAAAAAAGACACAGCAGACAAGTAGCTCATTAAATGAACGAGAAAGTAGTCCCCTTTCATGACACAGTTTACAAGTAGCTCCCCTTTCACGACACAGAGACAAATGTCATTAAATGACACAGTTGACAAGTAGCTCCCTTACCTGCACAGAGACAAGAGCTCCTTTACGCTGACAAGCAGACAAATATTCCCTTTTCACTGACACAGCAGATAATGTCCTTTACAAGACCGCAGATAAGTAGCCCTTTACCTGACACGAGATAAATAGCTCCTTTAAAACTGGACACAACAGATAAGTAGCTTCCTTTAATGGGCACAGAGAAAGTTGCTTTTAACACTGAAACAGCAGACAAAGTGCTTCCTTTCACTGAGCTTGAAAATTCCTTTTTTTACATGAATAGCGACTAGTAGCTTCCTTTCACTGACCAGCAGACAAGTTTTCTTCCTTTCCCTTTACACAAAAGACAAGTTGCTTTCTAACACTAAAAGAGAAAAGGTGCTTTCTAACCTGAAACAGAGACAAGTTCTTTCCCTTTCCTGACACAGGCAGTAATTCCTTACATGACCAGCAGACAAGTTGTTCCTTTACCCCGACACAGCAGACAAAATAACTTCCTTATACTGACACAGCAGGGCAAGTTCTTCCCTTTCACTGCACAGCAGACAAGTAAAATTCCCTTTCCCTGACCAGAGACAAATTGCTTCCTTCACTGCACAGCAGACAAGTAACTTCTTACACTGAACACAGACAATTCCTTTTCCCCACTGACCAGCAGACAAGTAATTCTTAACTGACACTGCAGACAAGTTGCTTCCCTTTTACTGACACAGAGACAAGTAACTTCCTTTCATACTAGCAGACAAGTTCTTTTTCACACGACACAGCAGCAAGTAACTTCCTTACACTGACATGCAGAGAAGTTTCTTCCTTATACTGACACAGCAGACAAGTTTCCTTTTTTCCATGACCAGCAGACAAGTAATTCCTTACATGAACTGCGAAAAGTTGCTTCCTTTTTTACTGACCAGAGACAGAACTTCCTTACACTGAAACCCGCAGACAAGTTGCCCCTTCACTTACACAGCAGACAAGTTACCCTCTCACTGAACAGCAGACAAGTTGCTCTCTCTTACTTACACAGAGACAAGTTACTCTCTCTCATGACACGCAGCAAGGGGAGCGCTCAGACACGCTTTTGAGAAAACCCCCCCCATACGATAAAAAATATATTTATTGATTATTTACCATGACCAAAAGTTTCATGAGTTTCTGGAACAAAGTATATTAAAAGTATCTACATATTAATATACAAATAACACTTTAAATTCAACGTCAACCCCAACATGTAAAATTTTCAGTTATAAGCAAAATACACGTATTTTGTAAGATGTCGTCGCTGTACAAAAATCGAGAAAAAAAAAACAGAAAAAAATATGCTGAACAACATACATAAACAAGGAAAAAGCTGCTCCATGCTTAAAAATTTATAGCTTCTCTCGGTCAAAATCGATATAAGATTCAAAAATCTCTACACCAAAAAAAGTGAATCAGTAGGCAAAATGGTTGACTCCAGTGTAAACGCCACTTTCCCGATGAAAAAAAAAGATGAAAAAATTTGTTTTAGTTTTCTTTAAAGTTTTGAAAATATAAATATAAAATGGACCAACCAGTGGTTGTTCCAAACTGCACAGAGATCAAATTCTTCAATAAATCTATAAAACAGCGCCTTATCAAGGCTGTCATAGGGATAACAGACACTACATATGTCAATAAATGTTTGACCGAAAAAGCAACAGAACTTACTGTTTACATAACAGATAAAGTATAAAAATAATCCGGCTAAAACCCACAACTGATGCAATCAAGATGGCAACAAATTACCTAAACTTTTAACTCACAGGAAATACACATTTCTATCAGTTGTTGAAATATTACCATATTAAACATCCTCAACACAATCTTAAATTCAATTAGTAAATGTCACTGATGTATCTTGCATAATTACCATTGTATGTCATGGCTGTCCATTGGAGATAGTAAAGAAGGCGATGCCCCAGGGAATAGTGAAGATAAAATACCAGTTAGGTGAAGGGATCATTGTTAGTACTAGTGCTGAAGATAGTAAAGAGACAGAAAACCATGCACCAGTAGGGAATGCAATCACAAAAACTAAGGCAAGCAGAATCTAGACCTAAGCAAATTCTATGCGTTAAGTATCTGCAAGCATCAAATATCTGGAAAAAACAAATGGGACGTGCAACTTTGACCACCCCAGAAAATGCCGCACCCATATGACAAAAGGAAAATGCAACCTTCCTTCCTGTAAGCTTTTCCAACCTAAATTGTGTCACTATTCAGTTCAGGAAAGACAGTGTTATAACTTATATTGTCATGCACCACCTAAAGGGGACAAGAAGATACAAAACATCCAGACCATTGGAAAACCTGGGTAGCCACAACCTAACTATACGTGCATTTGCTCATTATCATGAACACAGGTAAAACATTATAATCAATATACACTTTATCTAAATATCAGTAATCCTCTCAAATGTTAATCATTCCATTATTAACCTTAGGTTAATAATACAATAAAAACTGTAATTCTTCTCTACGAAACTTATTAAAGCCATATAGTATGATCTAATAGAATATACAATTTTCTTGTACTCATTTTAACTCACCTAATGACAGTATTTACAATTACTGTCCTGTTATTACCTTATTAATATTATTGTGTCTCAACTCGTCTCTCTAAGTTGTTGACTACGTTAAATGTGTCGGCGCAAGCTTCGCCCTTCACACGTACAGCCAGTGAAGATTGAAGAATGTGCCCTTGATTTTGGTAAACTCGTTGACTTTGGTGCCATAAAGCAGTTGTTACAACCTTCCGCTTTGTAAGCGTATTACCCTACTACTACACCGACTGTAGAGAAGGATCCTATAACAGTTCTGTTGCAAACACGTGGTTTCTGCACCGGGTACTTTTACCCATGTAAACCCTATATTTAATAGTTCTGCAACTCTTTCTGAGCAACCTCCTGTCTGAGTGACAACACAAGACCCAGTCAGCTCCATTGTCTAGAACTAGTGCAGCGACTAGTCGCTCCAGTCGTAATACAGAACACGTTAAAAATGTGAATAAAGACGACGTATTGTCGAAAACTGTACGGGCGTTCAGAATAAGAAGCTCTCAGACCAACTTACCATACTGTACTTACCATAGAATAAATGGCCATCACATAACTGAGTCCATCGCTCATCAAGCGAGTATGTATTACAGATCCTTCTGTGGTCGTCCCAACTGTGACCACAGAAGAAATCATAGAGGACGTCGTTCCCAGAAGAACCAGAGCCTTCATTAAACTTCAGTTTCGGAGGACTCCGAGTTCTATAATCAAACCTTTCCATGGTGACAGTAAGTGATACCGAGTATTCCATCAACATTAAGAATTCCTTTGACACTTTATGCAGTCTAGAGGAAGAATTCCTCGTTGATGACGTTGATTCGCATGTTTTCGAAGAAAAAATTTTTGGGAATGTGACTGAAAATATCGTCTCCGATGATGATTTCTTGTTTGAATGTCCATTCCAGTGCAACAATAAGTCAGATAGTCAAAGCTTCTGTTCATTACACCTGTTCATGTGTGCACATGTAACCATTATGAAGACAAGCCTGTTTAAGGATAAGCAATTACATCATGTCCTTGTTGAACAAACTAGTGTAACCACCCACTGTGGAGTTTCTGGTTCTAGTCTGCTCGTCCGAGGTCAGACTTCCCTCACCTTTTCTATCCAAGATATAGAGCTTTTCTGCTTCCTTCCTCAGTGTAGATCAGATTAATTTCCCTGGTGATCTTCTAGTGGGATTTACATGGAAGCAAGATTTGTATATCTCGCTTGATCCAGAATTGATGATATGATCGTAACATTCTGGAACTGCCAACTTGGATCCGAGATATGCTATACTGCTATCGAGTATGAAATTCGGATTAAATCTTTGCAGACTTATGTATTCTCTAGTAACTTAATCAAGCAGTCAGGCACTGGTAACACTCGCTCCTGTCTGGAAACCAACCCTTATAACTAAGTGTACTCACCTAGTTGTGGTTGAAAGGGTCGAATCTCAGCACCTGGCCTCGACTCTTCACTGGCAGCTGCTCAGTCACTACCCGCTCTGTGAGCTTTATCATACCTCTCCTTAAAGCTATGTACAGATCCCGCCTCCACTACATCTCTTCCCAGACTATTCCACTTCCTGACAACTCTGTGATTGAAGAAATGCTTCCTGACATCCCTGTGGTTCATCTGAGTCTTCAGCTTCCAACTGTGACCCCTTGTTGTTGTGTGGAACATTCTGTCTCTGTCCACCTTGTCTATTCCTCTCAGTATTTTATATGTCGCTATCATATACCCCCTATCTCTCCTGTCTTCCAGTGTCGTCAGGTTGATTTCCCTTAACTTCTCCTCGTAGGACGTACCCCTTAGCTCCGGGACTAATCTTGTTGCAAACCTCTGCACTTTCTCTAGATTCCTTACTTGATTGGTAAGCGAGGGTTCCAAACTGGCGCTGCATACTCCAGGATACTCCAGGACAGTGTACAGGGTCCTGAATGACTTCTTATTAAGATGTCAGAATGCTGTAATCAGGTTTGTCAATCGCCCGTATACTGCCGCAGTTATTTGGTTGATATGCGCCTCAGGAGATGTGCCTGGTGTTATATGCACCCCAAGATCCTTTCCCTTGAGTGAGGTTTGTAGTCTCTGGCCCCCTTGACTGTGCTCCGTCTATGTTCTTCCTTGCCCTTCCTCATTCTTCATGACTTTGCACTTGGTGAGGTTGAACTCAAGGAGCCAGTTGCAGGACCAGTCCTGCAGCCTGTCCAGATCGCTCTGTAATTCTGTCTGGTCCTCGTTCGATTGAATTTTTCTCGTCAACTTCACATCATCTGCAAACAGGGACACTTTGGAGTTTATTCCTTCCTTCATGACGTTCACAAATACAAGAAACAGTACCGGCCCTTGGACTGATCCCTGTGGCACCTCACTTGTTACAGGCGCCCACTCTGACACCTCACCGTGTACCATGACTAGCTGTTGTCTTCCTGACAGGTATTCTCTGATCCATTGTAGTGCCTTCCTTGTTATCTCATCCTGGTCCTCCAGCTTTTGCATTAATCTCTTGTGCAGAACTGTGTCAAACACCTTCTTACAGTCCAAGGAAACGCAATCTATCCACCCATCTATCTCTTGTCTTACTGCCGTCACCTTGTCATACAACTTCAGTAGGTTTGTGGCTCAGGATTTCCCATCCCTGTAACCGTGCTGGCTGTCGTTGATAAGCTCAGTCTTTTCTAGGTGCTCCATCTATCCGCAGGATAGTGTGCAGTTGCCTCAGGTGTAAGATGAACGTCCGACAAACCTCAGGTACTGAGACAATCGCTGCGATGGCTACTTATTCAGGTAGTAATTCCTCATCAGGGGATGCTATATCAGAAAGCGGCTACTTGAAGCAAATCATACTATCTCTTGTTGATGTCACAGGCCGTCTGCAAAGACGTCTCTGTCGAAGCTGGTGCGCTCAGTAGTGTCAATTGTAATAAAGTTGGTAGAATTACCGACAATATGTAAAGTAAAAGGACACAAGTGCAACTAATGTGACATTTATTGTGGCAACGTTTCGCTCTCCAGGAGCTTTATCAAGCCATTACAAACAATACGCGGACACAGAGGGTATATAAAGGCTCAGAGTGAGGTGCAATACTAGTGAGGTACCATTTCGATGTTCACTAGTGGTAGTGGTAGTAGTAGTAGTAGTAGTAGTAGTGGTAGTGACAAAAGTAATTCAATATGGTAGAGCAATTAATTCGTACATGAGTAAAAGGATATAAAAGCTATTACTTGGGTAACATAAAAATAGGTTGGACAAATATAGAGTGGAAAGAGGCAGCTTGTTTCAGTGTTCACTCTCTGTAATGTGCTTTGTGTAGTATAACAGGAGAGACTGTGATGGCAGGGTTTACTGTTTTCAGGAGGATTCTTGCTAAGACTTCGAAGATGGTGAAGCTGCCGTTGTTTTGTTTAATTGTATTTGAAACAGCG